AGAACAACTAAAATGAATACTTACTGTAAAATATTATCCACTTTGGAAAAACGAGACGTTCAAGTTCTCAAAAACTTATTATTTCGTTTAAAAAACATTTTTGGACGTTAAGGGCTAAAATGACTCTGGGCTGAAACAATAACACACAGTGTTGTTCACATAATAAAGTTAACTCTGGGGACTCTTTGGTCTGATTCTCCAAAACCTTCTTGTCTGACTTAATAATACACAGACAGAGTGTTTACTAAGTCTGTCCAAGATGGCTGCCAGTTAGTTAAGGGCCGTCTGAGGTGGTTTTGTGAGATCTTGGGTTTACTTCTTCTACGAGGCCTTTTTTCTCGAGTCTTGTCAAGGGACGACAAAGCTTGGATGCGTCACCGGTAATTTCATGCGCTTACGTGTACGTGGCCTGTGTATGTGTGCATGCTCCTCTGGCTAACACAAACCACATGTGAAGTTTACCCCAGGCAGATTCTGGTGTTGGGGAAGCACTATGTCCCTGAGTGTGGGCCCAGATAGGGGGATTTCTAATGGGTGGATATGGATGAAGAGATAGGAAGTGGAGGAGTTGGAAAAAAAAGGAACACAGGGCACACATGGCAGCCAGAGATTAGGCCGACTGTTTTCCCTGCTGGGTGGCTCGATCTCTGCCTCTCTCAGTTTGGATAAAGAGCACACAGCTGTCTGCTATCTATCCACGCTGGTAACCTGGTACGGCTGTGGGGGTGGTATAGGGGCACAGTAGCCGAGTAGGCGGCGAGAAAATGGGGTTTAGTCTTCAGAAGTTCCTGTGCAGTGTTTTTGCGGTGTTATGGCGCTGCACAGCATGCTGGGGCAGTGAGGTCAGAAACTTGAAACAGAACCCAGTGAGAGCCAGCCGCTTCATTGCCAGAGGCGTTCTCCCTGATTTACAGGCTGCATTAGCTAAGTAAAGGGATTTTATTATGATCTTGCTATAAATTTCAATCGTGTGTTTTTTCAGAAAGTCGGAATAGTTTTTCACAGAAATGCACAACATGAAGGTTGTTGCCTCTGAACCTGGAAGCTGGCGAATGCACAAACACTGGGGATTATTGTGTAGCCCTATAAATTTAAAAATTCCGTTTGCAAATGAAAATGCACAATTCCTTGCAATTCTGGACAGAAACTTTAACAATAGGAAATTCCCCAGACTGTTCAGACGAGGGGTGACGCAGCATGCAGAGGCAGGACGTAACATATAAAGTGCTGCAGAAATCACATGTTTTTGTTTAAACTTGTTTTGGGCCCTTATCACTAAAATATCTTGTTGGCCACACAAATCGACGTCTTTGTCGGCGAATACGTCATTCTGAGATATTTATATTCTACTTGTTTTTTTCTTGGTTTTGCGTCTGTTGCATGTTCAAAACATCATCAGCACGCTCCATCACTCGCGGTGAATCCCTCCAGACAAAATCCAGAGTTTTAACTAGGGGGCTGGCAGGAAAAACTTCAGAGATTGTCCCGAGCAACAAACCCAGCCATCTGAGTTCTCGCATCTAGCCCCTCCAGGAGATTATCTCAGTTCAGTGCACATCTGAAAGCAGCTTTAAAGAAACCACGATCCCAGCCAGTGCCATGGGGCTACAATGACAACAGCCCCCTTCCCTGTTCTTGTAAAAGACCCTTGTAGAAGATCAGTGTGATCATTACAATAATCAGCCTGCCACTCAGGGAGGAGCTGTCAATATCCCAGCAGGCATCTGGCTGACCATGTGGTAAATATTGCACCCCTATACCCCTGCTCCTCCCTAAACGCACACACACACTTTTATAGCCCAAAGGCGGCAAGAAGCAAGGCAGATACAGCGACGCCTCCAGTTGGAGAAAATTGGGTGAGATTACTGCTTCCTTATGCACAGTCTATGATCTCCGGGGAGGCAGCTCGGGCACAGCAAATACATCGGCATGAATAGACAGCAGTGTTGCACGTGTAGGTTGCCATTGTAGGCCGCAGGTTTCATGTGTGGTCGTGGCGAAAGTGAAGTAAACAACATGTCCGTCAATAAACCAGTGTAAGTTGTTTTCAAGTTGCTAAAAAGGGGAATTACTACGCTGGAACTTTGAAATAAATCTAGTCGCCTCACTTGAACTCGTTCACCGGATATATGCGCTCCATCGAGGTTCTATCAAGGTTGGCTGAGTGTTGTTTGGCACACTTCGCCCCTATTCACTCAGGGAGCTCAACGCAGATGCTTCATTACCTCGAGGTGTACTTTGCTTTCATGTGCTTTAGGCTTTAGCCCTCGGATTCATCTCCTGCTTTTCTGTGTGTTTTTCTGTGGGTCCATTATGATGTATAGGGGTGGCATTGTAGTGCACAGAAACTGACTGACTGATAACCTCCGTGCGAAGGGAGAATAAAAAGAGTACTGCTGTCTCACCAGTCGTCTCTTCTGAGCATCACACTGAGCCCCCCTTAGGAAAGCCAGGAGCGATCTATAATTCATACAACTCCTAGTAGCATCAGCCCCGACTTTATGTAACCTCGAAGGAAGATCTATGATGTTCGATGGTGGTAGATATGGCTGCCCCCCCCCCTGCAAGACTTAAATGTTTTGAGTGCTTTTGAGAGTTGTCGATAAGAGTCCGCAGCCGGAGTGGCCCTGAGATCAAGGGTGTTGGCGTGCGGGTGTGTGTGTACGCAAGTGCTGTCGAGGGCACAGCTGAGGTTTAAGGCTGCACTGTACTCGAAACAAACAACACACTTGTGCTCTCCTCAAGAAATGTTAAACGGGCTCTTGAAAAGGAAAATATAGTCTTAGAGGAACATGCTGGACTGCAATCTGAGTCAATCTCAGGAGCAGGGAACTCAAAAGTTTAATTTGAGAGTGAATAATGACTGTAATTATTATTTTTTTTAATCGAAGGAATCCTTAAATAAACGTTCTCTTCTTCCGTTTTAAAAAACCCTTCTTTTGTCCGTAATGGCTCTTTGATATATCTTTGCAATCTCCCACAGTCTCTCATTCCCTCTGTCCCCACTGAAAATTCCCCAAACCACCCCTTTCCTGTTGTAAATCTAAATCGAGGAGGCAAACGGGGCTTCGTGGACACAGCTCCTCACACACAGTGAGGAAAGCTGTACACGAAACAGCCATGCATGGCCTTGAATGAGTCATCTAATGCAGGAGGAGGGCCTCCACACACACACACACACACACACACACACACACACACAGCCGCTAAGCCACAGCCTCCAGGCTTTCAACAAAACATCTATTCTAAGTCTCTTTCAAGTTGTCAGCGAGCCTCCCAATTTCAGGGACGAAAACTGAAGAGGAACCAGAGAGACACTTCTCTCTCTTTTGCAATAATGAATAAAAAAATGTTTTGGGAAGAGGATCTGGGGGAAAATTTTTGTCATAACGGAAGCTCGGTTAAAATGATGTCCACCGTGCGTGCTGGGACCTCTTGTCTACATATGGTTGTCATTGTAGGATTTGCAGCAGAGGCATGGGAAAAGAAGAACAAACGCACAAAGACATAATTATATATTTGTAATTGTGCGGTGAAGGCGCACTGTGTTTATCCCGATTGGACCAAAATCAATGCTTAAGGTAGAATACCACACAAGCTTTGTCAAAATAAGGTCACTCACTCAAGAACTCGTCCAAAAAATCACTTTTGCTGTCATTACTTCAATATGCCAGATGTGGTAGGTTAATAAGGCAGGTGCAAGTTCACCATTAACATACACAGAACATCCTGTTCCTGTGAAGGGAGCAGGTGAGTATATCATAAAGGAGGTTTGTTTCTTCAGTCTTGTCAAGATTTAGATCTGTGTTGTACATTGGTAGTTTTCATGCCCGGACCTATCCAGCCTGGCAATTTGACAGAGAAAACAAAGTAATGTGGTACATGGAAGGAAAAAGAGGCCTTACTTAAAAACAGTTTAGGGTGTTTTTTTTGAGTGGAGCACCCGAAAACATGAGTCACATATCGGTTTTCCTATTATCCTGGTCAAAAGATGTGGGGTCCCTTGTGGCTGCAAATAAAGGAGCTTGGAGGTAAATATGTGATACGTTCAGAGGCAGTTTCAATAAGTTGCACGATATAAGATCATTTTCTGGGGTAATGGGCGCATTTCCTGCTTCAGATTTTTGTACAATACAGCGACTTAAAACAGGTGACCAAATATTGTTAAGTGCTTAAGTAAGTCTGCTGCCTTTGTATGGCCCCTAACAGCTCAGATTTCAAGTCTCACCAGGAGCTTTCTCTCCTGTGTTTCATTGCCTCACTAATTCCTTATTGTCTGAGTACAGAGCAGGCAACACAAAGGATGAATGGACTGCCTGTAGTCTTGCTAAAAACACTAGATTTCATTAGTTTACAAAGGCGCTTTATTGTCAGTAGAGCAGCTCTAGAAATTGGCTCTTGAGGAGCTTATTGAGAGCTCTCACTTAGATCCACAGCCGTCTAAACTGGCATTGTTTGCTTTGGTTTTGAAGATTCACTTGTTAAGCATTTTCCAAGTTGGTTCACTTAAGTTTTCCACAACGGTTGCTTTATTCACACAGTCATCATTCTTTTGCATGGCTTCAGTTGTCAACTGTTTTCGTCTTGTTTTTTTTTCCACAACTGTTTGTGTGTCAGGATGAGAAACGCGTCCCCAGGTATGGAGCCTGCAGGTAGAGTGAGCCTGTCTCACAAGCTGCTGCATGCTCTGGTTGAACTCAGATCTGGAATAAAAATCAGTGAAAAGCCCAATATCAGCACAGCTTCCATAATAAAGGCACCTTGCCCTCCACTAACAGGTAAATAGTGGTGGTTTCACCTCGTGTAGCTCTTTGGTCACACATCCATGAAGGTCATCCCAGTGCTTTGTTGCAGCAGTTGTACTTGTTGGTGTTCCTCATAAATCCTCCTCTTTAACACTTTAATTACCTCTCTCTTTTTTTCCCAGGCTCAGTCTCTTCTTTCTTTCTTTTTCACTGAAGCAACCTTTTAATCTCCTTCTCTCTCTCTTGCCCCTGAAGGTAAGAACCCCTCTGACAGTGGAGCTGCGGGGGACTATGGTGTGCCCAATCCTGGGCCTGCATTCAAAGAGGTGTGGCAGGTGAAGGTGTGGCCCAAAGGCCTGGGTCAGGCCAAGAACTTGGTGGGCATCTACCGCCTTTGCCTGACTGACAAGACGGTCAACTTCGTCAAACTCAACTCTGATGCTGCTGCTGTGGTGCTGCAGCTCATGAACGTCAGACGCTGCGGCCATTCAGAAAACTTCTTCTTTGTCGAAGTGGGACGCTCTGCCGTGACAGGCCCGGGCGAGTTCTGGATGCAGGTGAGCCTGTAGCCTGTAATCTGCAGTCCATGTTGATAGTTTCAGCCTCCATCCCAAATAAATGTTAAGACCCTATAATCAACTGAGGGGAAAAAGCTGCAAAGTTAGCCAATGTTTAGGTTAGCGTTCATGTAACCATACATTATGGTCCAATTCAACTTAAACAAATGTAGTTAAAATAACCCTTAAAGGCAGTTATAAATGAAAGACAAACAGTGAGCTACCAGGAGCTGTCTTGTTTTAATGATGCATCTTAAATAGAAATAATTATATAAAAAATTATAAATATTTATCAGAAATGTAACTCCCAAAATATATATATATATTTTTTTTTTAAATAAACCCAGATTCTATCACTGTACATACGTTTTTTTGTGTCCCATCTTAGGTGGATGATTCGGTGGTGGCCCAGAACATGCATGAAACCTTGCTAGAGGCCATGAAGGCACTGAGTGAGGAGTTCCGCCAACGCAGCAAATCTCAGTCAAACTCCGGCCCTGGAGGAGGTGCTACCGCTTCAAACCCCATCAGTGTTCCCTCACGCCGCCACCACCCAAACCCTCCTCCCAGCCAAGTGGGCTTCACCCGCAGGCCCCGAACTGAGCCTCCTGGAGGTGCTAACTGTGGAGCAGGAGGCAACAGTGCCAATGCTTCTCCAACCCCACGGGATATCTTCCCGAGGTCTCGCACTGCCAGTGAGGGTGGGAAAGGTGAGGATGGGATAACTGTGACCACACCTCTCCAAGGACCGAGCTCCAGTCCCGCCACCAATGGCTCCTGTTCTACCACCCCTATCCTCAGGTCGAAGTCAGTCCGTTCAGTCCCCACCACAGCTGCTAAAACTTCTCTTGGACTGATGCGCTCCATCTCCACCCCAGCACCCTCCCCAGCCCAAAGCCTCTCATCTAGCTCCGGGCATGGCTCTGACTTTGGAGGTGTATCATCTTCTGCTACTATTGGCCCGGGATGTGGAACCTATAGCCGTGTTCCCACCCATCGTGCCTCTGTCTCTGGCTCCCCCAGTGACTATGGCTCCTCAGATGAATATGGCTCTAGTCCTGGGGATCACACGCTCCTTCCCTCCCCAAGCCTCCCTGGAAGCTCTGTAGGTAGCGTCAGTAGCCAATCCCTTGGTGAGGAGGGTGCCAACTACATCCTGATGGGCCAGCGTAGTGGTGGGGGCAGTGGTAGCAACAGCAATCAAGGGAGCGTGACGTCCAGTTCCCTGCCAGCACCAGGAACACCATCCTGTGGCTCCCAGCCCCATACCAGGAGAGTGCTGCGTCGCTCCTCAAGTCGTGAATGTGAAGCTGAACGTAGGCTGCTGAGTAAACGGGCTTCCTTACCTCCTATGACCCTGGAGAGGCTGGCCCCACATCAGCGTAGAGCCGAGGAACCAGCAGATGAAGATTCAGCTGATTATGCCATAATGTCGAGGAGCACCAGTCGTGAATCCTTCACTTCCTCCTCCTCCTCCACACAGAGGGAATCTGTCTTGGGGGCTGGTTCGGCTGGGGGAGGAGGATACTTAGATGTGGCGGAGTTCAAAAGTGAAGGGAGTGGAGGAGCAGGAGGAGCAGGAGGAGGTATAGATTTAGGTGTAGACAATGGGTATATGTCCATGCTGCCTGGCGTCACTCAGCCTCCAGTATCCCTGTCCCAGTCTCTGGCTGTCTCTGTCCCAGACTCAGATTCTAAACCTGCTGATGATTACATGGCTATGACCCCTAACAACAGTGTGTCCCCTCCGCAGCAAATCAGGCCTCCACCAACTTCTGACGGCTATATGATAATGTCCCCCAATAGCAGCTGTTCCCCTGACCAGCGTGGTGGTCTCTCTGGAGGAGCTTGGGTGGGCAGTGGCAGTGCAGACAGCAGAGCAGGCAGTGACTATATGAACATGTCTCCTATCAGTGCTCGTTCTGTTAATGGCAGCCCCCCACCCCCTGAACACACAGCTCATTTGGAGACTATTTCTCAACAGCCAGCTCCCAAGATGGTTTATTCCTACTATTCCCTTCCCCGGTCATACAAACATAACCCCTCTGCTGGACACTTTGACGATGGGCCAGGACGAGGAAGAAGGCCCAATGGGAGTTGTAGTAGGGGAATGAGTGGAGGTAGGACGATGGGAGTGCGTCAGGAGCAACCAGCATCAGGCAGCTCAGTGGTGGGACGCCACCTGTCACTCTCATCATCCTCATACTCCTCTAGCTCAGCTAGCAGCGAGAGCCTTGGGGAGAGCGAGGACAGAGCTACCCAGACAGTGAGCCCCATGGCTGGGGGAACTCAGTCCAAAGATGGGAGTAAACTCCAGCAGAGACGGGGCTCCAGTGGGTTGTCCAAGCAGGGTAACCATACTAGAAGCAGACCAGTGAGTCTGTTTGTTGATGTTTCTAAAGCGAATACCCTTCCTAGAGTCCGTGAGAATCCCCTGCCCCCAGAACCGAAGAGCCCTGGAGAGTATGTAAGCATTGAGTTTAAGGGGGAGAAGTGTGGCCAGACTGGGGTTGGAGGAGGGCGTGGCCGGGGTCTCAGGCATGGCTTATCACTGCCTCATTGCCCAAGCAGCCAGAATCCTCAACACAGGACAACTTCTTTCCTAGGAAACTTTGTCCCCCTCTCCCGCAGCCCCTCTGCTCCCATCACTCCCCCAGCTGCCTCTGAATATGTCAACATGGACTTGGGCCCTTCTCCGTCCCCCTCACCCCTCTCTCTTACCCCACTGGTTTTCCCATCTTTTCACACCCCTCCCACGCCTCCAACTCTTGCTCATGTCCCCAAAGCTTGTGATGAGAGCCCCAGTGTCCCTCGTGAAGAGAGAGCTGAAGTAGCCGAGGCCCCACTTAGGAAAAGCAGAGAAAGTGCTCCCTCAGTGTCTGAGTCCGAGTCCCCTATATCCTGTGGAGACTACACAGAGATGGTCTTCAGCTTGAATAGCAACAAAGTCCCTAGGTCATCATCCAGTGTCTCTCCCAAAGCCCCCTCCCCCATCAGGACTGATCCTTCCGTTCCTGTACTGTCATGTGGTCTAGATTTCTCCCTTGCAAAACCTGGACTCAATCCAGACCACGGGGCTAAAGTTATCCGTGCAGACCCCCAAGGACGCAGACGTCATTGCTCAGAAACCTTCCTTGCCCCGCCTTCCCTCCCCACCTCTACCTCCACTTCCTCTTCGTCCACTGCCTCCCTATTTCCAGAACACACCCAAGCTGTCGCCCGTCGGCTGGGCTTTGAAAGCGTGCTGTGGGGGAATGGTGCTGCGAGTGATACCCCCACTCAGTGCCCCCTCCCTGGACAACAGTCCCTTCCCACAAACACTCAGACTTCATCCACAGAGCAAGGTCTTAACTATATTGACTTGGACTTGGTCAACAAAGAGAGCCCCCATTTGGGCCTGGAAGGACCCTCAGGTAGCCAGGCCCCTTCTCGCCTCTTCTCTGTACTGGGTGGAGGTTCTGGGATTGGGGGAGTGGGCGCAGCAGTCGGCAGCAGCAGCAGCTCCAGCCTCAACACATATGCCAGCATTGACTTCTACAAATCAGAGGAGCTGCGGACACATCAGAATGGAAACAAGGAAGGAACAGGTAAGAGCTGACTCTTCACACAAGTTTACACTGTGATCGTACATTTTTCAGTACGTCTCATCCTCCTCCCTTTGTCTTCATCCTTCTGCTCTGTCACATTATTCAGATGGAAATAAATAACACTTTCAAGATAATCCGATGGAGAATAGTCTCCCTCTCCATCTACACTCGTAATAAAACTTCACCTGGCGCCATATTAGAATGTAGACACTGGTCTGATTTGTCTGACTGTCCCCATAGTCCACAATATGAGGTATAGATCAACCGAGCTGACAATTCATAAATTGGTTTCCTCGTCTGGAGGTTGGTGTACGTCTAAAGAGAAGAACACACGTTTTACCTGATGTGATTGTGTTAGGTGTTGAAGGCCAGACAACCTATTGGAATAACAATGAATATCGATATTCTGGAAATGACTATTGATCCACTTGAGGCTTCCCAGTGCTGCACCTTGGTGCAGATTTAGGACGTACTTGTTTTGTATATATTTATATTCAAGATATTACTACAAGCAGTATCATTCCGCTTCATTTGACCTGTTTTTTCCATCTCACTGCAGTGCTACTCTCAGCAAAGGAAACAATTGCGAATCGCAGAAAATATGCTTTACTTCATGTTCAATAAAGTAGAACTTTGACCTTGTTTTCTGTTGACCTGTCAGATTAAGATCCAGCAGGAAAACCAATGGAGCAGAAAATTGATTCTTCCATGGATCTTGGATATTTTATTTTTGGTTAATTTAGGAGGTTTTCACTCCACAATTTAAATATTCATTCAAACTGGGTTACCAGGTTTTTTACTTGTACAGAGGACAAATAAAGGGAAAGGAGCCAAAGTGTGTCAGCTGTGCTCCTTGTCATAAATTCTTCATAAAAGTGAACTGAACTCTACTGCAGAGACGAGCAGAATTCTTGCAATGGACATTCCCTCATTTGATGTTTTGTTGACGGTGGTGGGGAACACTCTCCCATAGGTGTTTAACCATCTGGAGGACCCCTAAAAATCCCCTAAAGGCCCACTAGAAACCTCCTGAAGGACTTCTGCGCCCTCGTAAAGATCCACTAAATCCTCTAAGACTCCTTGAAACTTGAAATCTTAAATGTCCTGAACTATGCAAAGAATCTCCTCAGTAATCACTCCAACCTCATTACAGAACCATAGAAAACAGCCTGTCAATAAAATACTGAGGACGAGTGTGTTACTCAGCTGAACTACTGTAGGTTTTTGGCACCTGTTGATGTGTGTATGTTTCTGATATTATATAATAAATACATGGAATATAAATAGAAGTGAGGTAAAAACAGAAATATTCAGTTAACTCTCTAACATATAGAATATTATTCTACACATTTGCGATGTGTGAGTGAAATACAGATTGTTAATACACATGTGCAGCAAAGTATAAAATGCATCGGACAGCGCTGTAACTTTGTTGTTTAGTGTGGGGGGGTCAATGAGTTTAGGCTCTGAATTTTCATTGTATTTCCATTTTTTCCTATTGTGCAGGGCAGTTTTTCGAGCTGTGGGGCACCAACACAGCTGAACAATGCCTCAACTAGGTCACTGTGAGACGTTTCCTCATCGAGAAACATTCTCTTTGAGCCACTGTCTGCACTAAATTGGCCTGTTAAGAAGTGGATGTCTGCAGTTGAAGCAGATAGAGCGGCATTTAAATGGAGATGTGGATTTATATGCAGTAAAACACTCAGTAGTCTTACTTAACCTTCCACAGCGGGGCTCTTGTGATGAATGCACCCTGCCAAGCCGTGCTGTTTATGTAGCCCCGCTAGCTTCCACATGATTTGCACTGTAGGTTGCGTTGGACTTAAACCTCCCGGGTTTTTGCGGTAAACATTTCATAGCTCTGCTCCGAATTTGATTTAATGAAAAATTTAAGGCATTAGTGGCGATTCATCACGGGATCTTGCAGCGAGTGTCTGAGCTCAACAGTTGGTTTTCATAGATTCCACACATGGAAACGAAGCATCAGGCCGCATCCATATGTCACAGTGATGGTTTTTTTTATTGAGAAGTGGAAGCACGCGGTGGTTGTTGGTTGTATTTTAAAGGGAAGTGCTCGCAGGCTACCGCTGCGGAACCATATGGGATCTGACTGCTGCGTACGTCAGTGGGGCAGCGTGGGGGAGAATGTTACACATTGGCTGTGAATGTTGAGATGGGGCCAGTGCTTCACTCACACAGCTCTCAAATGCCTCTGTACAGTGTTCCCCCCTCCTTTCATCCCCCCCATTCTGCCTCCCCCTCTTTCCTCCTTCAATAAATGATCCTTTTGTTTGAGTGTTTTTACCACAGTGGGCTGGCGGGCCTCTGCAGGGCCAAGCCCCGGGACGAGTGGACTCTCAGTCTTTCCCCCTCGCACTCATTTGTGTGTGTTGCTTTCTTTATTCTTTCTCACCTCATTTTCCACTTCGTCCTTGCGTCCTTCTATTTGACTGCTTGTCCTCACACCTACTCATTCCTCACAATCTTCACCCTGCTCAAACATCTAGGCAGATGAATATTTGAAATTCCTTCCCTCCCTTCTGTTCACTATTGTGCAGCTTTTTTCGCTCCCTCTCGTCTTCACGCCTCTCGTCCTCCTCCCTTCTCACATTGTGTTTCCTTCCATCCTTTAAATACTTGCAGAGGCACTTCATAATAGATTTTCTCTTCTTGATTCTGAGCATCCAAAAAACAGGGAGCATAAGAGGCGAAAACAGAAATGAAAAGCGGCCACACAAAGATGGCACAAATCTGCCAACAGAAATACCATTCAAAAACTATTAATTATCTTGTCTAGTGTGGATCCTTTGCAGAGTTTTGATCGGTCGTAATTACAGGGATTCTCTTTCCTCCGACAGGCAGCGGCTTGTATAGGAGAAGAGTGTGTGTATGTCTCAGGGGCACATAGTTTTGGCACAGGGGGCCCGAAAGCTAAATCTGGACATCAGTAGTGGGACATGTGCCAAAAACAATTCTGTGTTGGACGGTGGTAACGTCTTATGCAATGAGCAAAATTAACCTCCCATGATTTTGAAAACAAGGAAACGAAGGGGGAGTAATTTCACTCCAAATAACTCAAAAGACAAAAATCAAATCGGAACGAATCAACTGCAGCAGATGTGATGTGTTACTCTGTATTACTTTGCAGTGTGGATCCGTGTGTGTGTGTGTGTGTGTGTGTGTGTGTGTGTGTGTGTGTGTGTGTGTGTACACATTATTGTTTTGTGTCTAGACTCATTTATCATTTGTCACATTGTAACACATATAGATTTAAGCAAATGACTTTTCATTATCAGTCAATCAAGAGTTGTCATGATGAATATAACATTATTTTATTTTTTAAACTCCCTGATATGAGCAGAGAATGACAAACACTTTTATATACGTTATACCTCCTCACTGTGCTTCCACTGTGCAGAAGAAACATCAGATGTCTGTTGGACTTTTATTATATTGATTTATATTGTGATAATCACTGCCCAGCACTAGATTTTATGTTTTTCCTCTGTCCTTTGTGGAAAGAAAGCCAATTAGAGTGAAATTGTGAAGAATTATATGAGTCATGTGGTCAGATTGTTGTGTAGTGGGAGTAAAACTGTTGATAAAATGTTCTATCATATATTATTTTTCATCTCGGGATAGTAATTTTCATGTATATTTCCTGGAACATTTATTTGTGAGATCTAATGATACATAAATTAATTTAATGCAAATAAACAAATGCAGCAATTTAAATGAATCATTCAAATAAAAAAACGTAGTAGTTTGATCTACTGCTGAAAAGTAACGTTGAACTTTAAAAATGAAGGGCATTTAACATCAGAAACTTTATTGACCCGGATTCTCTGCGCAGCACGTAGTTTTATTGGTGACACTGCAGGATTCCTTGGCCTAGTTGGCAGCTGCTTGGCACATTCCCACATCCTCAGAGTTCAGGATAATGTGGGCCGCGAAGAGGTAAAGCACACTTTAAGCCAGTGAGTGAAACGACCAGGGACACACACACACACACACACACACACACACACACACACACACACACACACACACACACCAGGTTCTTGCAGTGACCAAATCCTGTTCACTTCAGTCATTAGAAGAGCTGTGTAATTGATCCCATTACCTCCTCTATCTATCTCTGTCTGTCTGAGAGAGGGGTTCTCTACATTTTCTCTGGTAATAAAATACTTATTACAGATTCCATTCACTTGCATCTTGAGCGTTCTCACTTTGGCAAAATCTTTTTTCTTTTGTTACGATAAGTGATGGGACAAAAGGCACAAGCCGTCACACCATCAGACAAATTGCAAAGAAGGCAACACCTTCACTAAACCACTTTATTAGTAAGTATAACAGAGAGTGTCAATATTAATCCATCATTGCAAAGTAAAGAGCAAACTGTAAACTGTGCTGCGATGTTTACAACGGACAATCGTATTATATAATTTGACCTTTGACCTTAGATTCTTCCTAGAAGCTAATCTGAGAGTTTATCTCCTCCATATGTAGTTTATATTTCTAATCATTTGCTTTCTACATGTTTAACCCATGTAAAGTTTTAGCAATATTAGAAAGCCCAACATGAATTAAATATATTAATTATTTATTTATTCTTTTTTAGAAAATTCACCTTGTTCCCTGATCTCGCCATTAACTTGGTGAATACATGTCGCTGTTATTATAAAAATCGAGGAAAAGAGTGAGTTTTAATGAAACTGAATTTCATAATTAAACTGAACTAATTTACATTTAAGCCACGAGTCCATTTTGCAAAAAGCAGTATGACATAAACTCATTGCTCTCCACACTCCACACTGATACACACTGTGATGACAGACGTTACTCGCCGGGTGTGTAACCCAGGCCAAAGACTAAAAGCACTGGCAGAGTTACGTAAAACACAACACGTGGACGGGACGTGACCCCCAAAGAGGTGAAGCTCTGTGTGTGTGTGTGTGTGCTTGTGCGTGTGTGAACTGGAGTGGAATTTTGAGATC